GATGATGTTCATAGCATTCTGGGGAACTTTGGAGGTCTCCATCTAGCAGCTTCAGTTTTACCTCCATGACCCTGGAACTTCAAAACCCAAACCCCAAACCCAAAATGATCCCTACTGTTGATACTACAAGTCCGAGGATGTGAGGTACGCAGTTGAGGTCATGCAGAATTCTCGTATCTGCTGTCCTGAAGCCAAGATGACCCTTATACAATCCTCAAGGGAGCTCTATTTTTGCTGCTTCATCGTTTTCATGAACGTCTCCTGCAGATCTTCCCGCTCGTTCGGCCGGAAGCGTCGGAGTGCTCGACGAAGTGCACGGTCCCTGGCTGAAGGTGTTTATGTCTGGGCCCCTGACCGTACTATTCTCCAAGGCTATCCAGCCTCATGCATTTGAAACGTAAAGCCCCCTCTACTCCCCTTTGCAAACCACCTCTCTCCCCCCCTGCCCCTCCCGTGGTGAGTGGCCTAGTCCAGTTTGGGCACGTCCCCTATGCAAATTTACTCTGGCTTGTTTTCCAACGGTTCTTTGGCACATGCCGCCCCATGAATGCGGGTGATTTTCTTCTGGAGCTTTCTGCTGGGATATATGGGGTTCAGAACATGCATCTTTTCAAGCTCAAACGTTTCGAGATCCTGTCTTCCTTTTGGCAAATTAGGCAGACCCGATGATTTCCGCACATTTTCCTGAACAAGACATTTTCTCTTGGCTCTGGCCCCACAACCTACAGCCCAATGGCGTCCATAGCTCGTATTGCGGCGACGCATGTTTAGATCCCTGTTCTTTGGCTTTGGCCGAAGCTGCCAGCTTTTCGTTGCGGCGGCGCTGGGCATGCGCCCTGGCGGTCTTTTTTCCACATCTGCGAAGCATGAACGTGCCGTCTAAGTGTTTGCTGCGCATAAGCGTGGTCGACGACATGCTGTGACACTGGTTAAGAGTTTAGGGTAAGGATCAGACACCTGATTTGGAAATCCAGAAACCGAAACATGTTTTGAGCCCTACATATTGCACCGCAATCTTTCAACCCTGAATCCTCGATCCATGTCTTTCTTTCCGTGCCTATTTTGACTGCAGCACACCGACTTGAATTTGTCACCCTCGGTCTGTATACTTCAAACATCCAGGTGCTAGGTCTAAGTTGATGAAGCCCCCTCCTCCCCCTCCCCCCTCCCGATACCCAGACCTCCCCCCTCCTTGACGCGATGTCGTTACCCATTTAGGATGTATGCATAGACTTCCAGCGGGGTCGCCCCTTCCCAATGTTGGAATACATGGGAAGAGTTCAGGGTTTACGTACACACCCTGCCCCGCCCCAGGCCCTGCATATGAGTGAGAAGTGCTTTCTGTGCACCCAGCAGCCGAGGCGGGCACGCGATAGCGTTTACAATTAGTTTGAGTAAGCCATATAAGGCCGTTCAGGGGGATTGGAAACAGGATTTAGAAGTCCAGCCCCCAAACTCATGTGTTCTTAGGGCAGTGTGAAAATTTCTGGTTCATTTCACTTCTTGTCTCAGCATGGACCATAGAAAAACACATACCAGAAAGCCGCCCCCGCACACTGAAATGCAACTATGCAGCCATTTTGAAAGGAAGGTGCATGAGGTTAGTTGTTGAAACGAAGGGTGAAGGGCAATGATTACGGGGAGGGGATCGGGACTTGTTCGAGCTCAGTTTCAAGAATGTGCCTTTGGAGCTTCGGGTTTCAGATTGATGAACATTAAATTTGATCCCCTAGGGCTATCACAAACAGAATATGTTGAATAGTTCCATGGGGCTATACTGCAACAACAACAACCCAAAACATGCTAAGGGGATAGGAGTTAGACATGAGGGAGATCACAAACACAGAGCCTATAGAGAATACACCCTGGGAAGGTATGTCATGACACACGCGTGCTATCAGTTTTTGTAGGTATAAGAGGCCATAGGCGACAAACGGGCTATAAATTCGAAGTTAACATACCCTACAGATACAGGAAGAGAATGCTGGTTGATGGGTGCCTGCAGTCTCGCACCCATCGCGACACCCTTTGCAGAGCTTCTCCGACCGAACGCTCCTGATTTGAGTTTAGAGTTTAGGTTTAGGTTTCAGGGGTTTAGGGTTCAGGGTTTTGAGCGCTCACGTTCGAATGTCATACCCTAAGGGAAGAGCAAAAGGGTGAGAGAAGTTAGATTGCTGCGCATACCCGTTCTGTCAAGACGACCACTCCTACTCCTGCTCCTACTACCACGCCTGCTCTTGCTTGCGCTGCTCCTGCTGCTTCAGCTATTGTCTAAACTCCTAGTATCCCCCTTTAATAATGGAGAATCAAATGGAAAAGAAAATGGAAAATGAAATGGAAACTGGGATTGTATAGGGGATTATAAACCTTAAACCCTAAACCCTAAACCCTACGACGCTGCCTCTGCTGCTCCTGCTACCCCTCACTGCTACGCAGAACATGGAGCGGCAGCAGTGCGGGATAGGGGTTTACCATGTGTGCTACCAGTAACCCAGACCCATGATTAATAAACCCTCTCCCCTTAATAGGGATTAGAATAGGGATCCTAATATTTAGGCACTTCAAAGGAGGGGGTTTATTAATCATGGGTCTACATTAGCAAATAAGTCAGAGTAGTTGCAAGCAGCAATAGCTTTAAGAATGATGGTGCTGATGCTGCCTTATGGACTTGACAATGCGCTTCCCAATTAGCTGAATTCCCTCAAAGGCACAACTTGGTGTTTCCAAAAATCATTGGCCCCCTTTTGGGGGCACCTACGAATGACAAGGACGTTCGTTTGTTGGGGTCTAGATTGGGGCCCCCCCACCTCCCGGCTCAGGGGATCTGGTAACTACTTATATCTGGGGTAGCCCTACATAGAACTAGGTTGTCTCATATGGGGCAGTGGGTGGGTGATGAGTATTGGCGTATAACCCAGTTATAAGTACTTACTAAGTCCCATGAACCTCCCGCAGCCCTGAACCAAAACTGCCACCTCAACCCTAAGCACCAAACTCAACCTCCCGTCAAAACCCTTTACCCTACAAGCTTCTTAGAAACTTACCCCTATGGATCCAACTATACAAACAGTACCTACATTGAGACCTGATGTCTGCACTATTTGGATCGCTAAGCCCCGTAACCTAAATCCTACATTACCTTAGCCCTATACTCTAAACACCGTTTAGGGTTTAGGGTTTAGGTTTTAGGATTTCAGGACTTTCTGTGCCAATTTTCTAAACCCCAAACCCCATAATCCTAAACTCTCCGTGAGATGAAACTTGTGGGGAAGATGCAGAACCAACGAGTGCCAACGCGTCGCATTCGATTTAGGGTTTAGGGCTTAGAGTATGACAAAGCAATGTAACCTTTGATATAGAGACCTCCCAGTGGAACCCCTTGCACATAACAGCCTCAAAGCTCAAGTAATATCACCCAAAACACCCTAAACCCTAAACCCTAAACCCTAAATCCCTAAACCCTACATTAAGAGTGCAAGTTGCCCATTTTGTGCGCTGCATTGGGGATAATCGGTTTGAAGTCATGTGGAGTTTCTGGAAATTGGTGTCTGGAACTTTTCTTCGTAGGGATCCCTATGTTTCCCTGGTAATTCCCCAAACAACTCTAAACCCTAAACCCTAAGCCCTTTTGAGAACTCCCATGGGTTCAACCCAAGCCGCTAAACTTTACACCTTGTGCAGCTCCATTGCCTGAACCACATAATAAGGTTTAGGTTGGGTACTGCCCCCACTCAGTAACAGTTGGATAATCTTCATAATGTAGTGATATATAGCCCTTAATATGACCCCTAGTATAGACTGTTACGGGGTGGGGACAGTACCCAAGGTTTAGGGTTTAGGGTTTAGGGTAGGCACTGTCACTGAGGACACACCCCCCAAAAAAACATGTTTTTGACACCACCACCCTACATATATCCCTGTACTGACCTCCTGAAAATCATCCTGCCTTGCCCACGAACTCAAGCACGCCCGAAGTTCGACTCATGCCGTGGAGGCCGTCCGTAAAACTTAAAACCTACTTCAAGAAGGGGACCTGGCCCCCCGCCCCCCGCACCCGCAAGATTAGCATCATGTGAGCTATAGTCTCACTTCTAGTATCCAATTTAGTAGCCCCTATAGTAGTTCCCTATACAATTCCTTGTGTAACCACCCTTGAAAGAGTTTAGACTATATGGTTCATCTGATGCTGCCTACAAGGTTTTATGGGGTTCGAGTTGCCAAGCTCCTCTTTTCATATTTAGGAGGGTCGTAGCCAGCAAGTATGTAGGCAAAGAATGCGGGGGTTTAGGGTTTAGGGTGTTACTTGCGTCATGGAGCTTATCAGCTACAAATACTCACAAAGCCCAACCCCAACACTGAAGGAAGAACTGTTAATTCAACCCATGCAGCCCGGACTCCTGAACCCTACAACCCATACCCTACCAGGACCCCAACAGTATGTAGAATAATGGCCTTTTGGGCTGTTTTTGGGGGTTCTGATGGTCTATTATTATACCGACTTTTGGGGTTTCAGGTAAACCATAAAACAAAACCCTAGTCAGTTCCTGAACCATTGAGCGCGAACCCCCGCATCAGACAACCCGAAAAACTTAACTCCGTACAACTTCAAGGCACAAAAACAAAACTCCTGAGTCGCAACTCCTTCCTAAATATGCCCAAGCTCGTATCCCTACAGGCCAAAACCCTAGAGCCCAACTCCCTACAACCTAAACTTCGAATCTCCAACTCCATAATTACACTCCGAGAGAATTACGCAGCACAAAACCCACCGGCCTGAGATCACAAACACCTTAGTCCCCACACCCTTACACCCCTGACAAACAACCCCCAGATTTTTACGGTGTGTTTTGGACAACCCGAACCTCCAAACCCTAAACCCCTAAACCCTAAACCCTTAAACCCCTGAAAACCCTAAGCCCTATAGACCCTCAAACCCCTGAATCCTAAACCCTATACCCAATACCTGCAGTTTTGAAGGCCTGGAATGCAGCTGTGGGATCTAGCGCTCAAGAGCCGATGCTTTAATCCATGCTCCTGACTAACAAAACCCCCTAGATTTAAACAATGGTTCGGGCTAAATTCGGGGTCAAAGATAAGTTTTAAGGGCAGAGGCATTTTTCGGCTCAAAACCCCTCAGAATTTAAAGAACATGATCCTCCAACCATAAGGTAATAAGCCTCCTAGACCTTAAACTTGCAACCTAAATCTGGGGCCCTATACCCTAATCCCCACACCCTAAACCCTAATCAAACCGAATGCCTTTTCTGTAGTTGTAGGAGAGTATTAGTAGGGACCTACGTAGAATGGGGGGTTTAGGGTTTAGGGCCTAACTCTCCCCTTCAACTTGTACGCTACATCCCAAGACTTGAGAGGCATTAGAGGGTTTGAAAATCTGGTTTGCTTACTAAAATCTCTTTGGAATTTCAAAGCCAGACATCGCTTTCCCGAGTTCCCCCTTATGACCCCTGCTGCCTGGATTAATAGGAAATGCCCCAGAATAATTGAAATTTCGTTGGAGTCCCAGGAGAAGGCAACCTTGCTTAAGTAAGCTTCCGTACTTGATGTTACTTAGCCGTCTACTGTTTTTATTTGAAAACCCGACCGACTTCAATGGATTTTAACTGACTATTGATGTTATTTGAAATCCATCTGATTTCAAAAGAGTTGAAACAGATTTCCATGTATTTCAACGGATTTTGTTCTATTTGTCTTGATTTTACGGGGAGTCCATTCGGATTTCAATGGATGTTCAGCAGATGTCCATTTGGGGTTGTATAAAAACCCCGTTCCTATTTGCTTGACCCGAAATGAATGTTATCGTCTTTTTTCCTCTTATCGTTTTTCCATCTAAAACCCTCATTTTAACATAACAATACAATTGGGAGCATATTGTCTTAGCAACTGTCCTAGCCCAGACAAAGG